GAAAGATCACTCCTTGATGTATAAGTGCTCACATTACCATTACCCCTCTTCAGGTAATGGGCAAGTATTTTGAGTTCGGAAAAAGTGTGACAGAACTTTCTCGCCAACCTAATACTAGAATGGCTTCATAAGAATACAAACAGCTGGGATATGAGAAATGAGCCCGAGTTGTAAATAGAAAGATCGGAACGACTACGGTAGAGATGTCTCACGAACGAAGATAAATACCAGCTTCGGACACAAATCGCTCTCGAGCACCTTATAGTTCATGACCGCGTTATTCACACACTGACTAATCACTTCCCAGGAATGCACGAACATTCCCCATTCAGCTACTGGGGTCATTACTTAGAGAATTCTCTTTCCTCCCAAGGAATAGGAATCTCTAAGTAGGAAGGAAGACGTCAGTGTTCTAACGACGGATTACCAGCATTTTTCGCGGGGTAGGGAGGGCGTTGTCCGGCGTAAAGGGGCGGAAAGGAGAGTTTCTGACTTGCAGGTTTGACTTACTAGTTCCAGTTACCCTACACGTCTCGCTTTTGCTGTTTCTCAGAAACACTTTGACTGGAAACGACCGGGCATTGACACATGGCCGACTCCGCCCATTCTCTAAAGGGTTTGGCAATCTAGGCTGACCACGCCCACTTGCTTTTCGCGGACTTTCGATATTTTTTCAAGGCCCCGCCCACTTTTCAAAAATGGCGCAAATCGGTGGTATAGAGAATCGGCTCCGGCAAAGTTTATTCCAAATGATCAGCAATACCCTAGCATGCAAGCCAAGGCTCTATACCGATTTGCACCATTTTTGAAAAGTGGGCGGGGCTTCTTCAAAGTGGGCGGAGCCTCTCACAGTGGGCGGGGCTTCACGCAGCAGCCCTAAAATGCAAAAATTTTGAAAAAATATCGAAAGTCCGCGAAAAGCAAGTGGGCGTGGTCAGCCTAGATTGCCAAACCCTTTAGAGAATGGGCGGAGTCGGCCATGTGTCAATGCCCGGTCGTTTCCAGTCAAAGTGTTTGTGGGAAACAGCAAAAGCAGAAGTTATGAAACAAGATTTGAGAATCTATGTCCGCGCTGACAAGTGGGCGTGGCCGTCGGGGCGGGGCTCGCAGTGATGTCTGGCGTGATCTGAATAAGTGTGGTTAATTTGATGTGAAAAGTGAGGGTGAATTTGGTTTGAAAAGGGGTGAATTTGGTTTGAAAAAGGGTGAATTTGGTTTGAAAAAGGGTGAATTTGGTTTGAAAAAGGGTGAATTTGGTTTGAAAAAGGGTGAATTTAAAGTGAAAATGGTATATATATAAATGACTGCATCACTAACATTTGGGTTGGGAGCCATGTTCCGTCGAAGATCAGGTCGTTCAGCTTTTTTCGTTATTCTCCTAAATTGTAGCCCAAGAAGCACCGAGGCGTCCATATAGACGATTATTAACGTAGGAATGATGAAAGATCTGGAAAAAGCTGGCTCTAAAGTAGAAGTAAATGGCCCAATATATCCAACTCACACCGTGCTCTCTATCAGTAAGAAGGCTTTATTGATTTGCTGGTAACCAAATAGTGATACCATTGTGCAGCCGCCCTTCAATATAGAACATTAACTGGTTAAGGAAAGCAGTAGGCTGCTATGGAACTAGCTGGAAACCAGGTCGAAGTGGGAGCTATGCAGTCAGCACGTTTTTTTTTTGATTTTTTCTCTTTCAAATAGGATTTCAAATCCTGTTCCAGAATCTGCACTGTTATTCTCTGATCGGAATTATCATCCGGCCGATCACAAACAGCCACTTCGACATGAGGATATTTCCCAGTAAAAACACCCACCGACGGATTGCTTTCCACGGATATCAGCAGCCATGCGTTGGATACCACGGCGGCGGTAATCACGGTAAACATCGCCTAAAATAGCTCCGAACATTGGTGAATCTCACCCCCTAATTCAACTGGTTTTTGAAAAAGCTCCGAACATTGGTGGAATCATTTCACCCCCTATTCAATGGTTTTTAAAAATTTGTCTTGAGGGCTGCTGAAGTGTTTGGGTGAGCAAGTCTCAAAAAGTCTCGAAATTTTTTCGATCATTTCAGGCTCTGACGCAGGCAAAACGCGAAATGCGGCGAAAAGCTAGCTTAATAAAGTAACTCAATCTTGAAAAGGATTGAGGATTCACACAACGATAACCATTATGCCAAGATTGCAGAAAAGTTGAACAGCACTAAACCTCAACATTTCAATAAATGTAAAAAGACCCTGCCCGCCAAAATGTTCGTTCTCCATAATCATTAAAACGAAGTACTGTCTATGAAATTAGCTTTTAGCGGAAACAGTTTCTGACACCACAATTCATTTCTTTTTTTTGTATTATGTTCTTTTATTTCTGTCATGACAGAACTTACCTCGCCAACCCTACAGACATAAAGTATGCTGAACCTACATTGTCTATTTTGGCACTGACTGCACAGGAACCCCAACAGTCAACCCAGCTTTTGCAATGTTTTTCTTGGGGGTTTTTGGGGATAGCACTGTACAGTGTATGATCCCTGGCAAACAGTAGGGCGTGGACGCGGCGCGGTTTGGCACCAGCCGGAGTGATCTTGTTCCAACATGGATGTATATCTGAGTCCGCCTAAGATGTTGTGAGAAATCCGCCCCGGGCCTGCGCTCCGAGTCGCACCGGCTCACGAGCCTTAATCGTTGGCAGGGATCAATGGTGTCATGTGTCTAGTACTGAACAAACGCAAATACAGTTCAAACCAGTCAAAACATCCTACTGCTATCCGAGAACCTATTAGCTTCAGTTTTAAAAAGTTGTCGTGTTTGTTTGTCTTTAATTTTTTTTCTTTTTTATATGTGCATCCCTAATTGAGTATGTTTCTGTGTTTTTCAAGCCTGAAGTGGCGCACCTTGGGTGTATGTCAATACAATAAATAAATAAACTAGCTCAACTACTCGTTTTAGCGATTTTGAGGAACGACCCTCATGGATGTATGTAAGGTTTTTCCCTTCGCCCTGTTTCCATGAACGTATACTGAGATGCCGTTATGTACAGCCTGAGGTGGGCAAGGATCGCGACAGCATGACGCATTACTACTAGGTGCCTTCGGAAGCATCACGTCGTGATCTTGGATCCCTACTTGGACTAATTCTTCGCATTTTGCGGACTGCACATGGCGTGACTTAGCCCTGCTAAGGGATGGTCCCTCCCAAGGTACATATTTCTTCCCATTATTTCTGAGTGAATCGTCCATTTAGCATGCCATTTTCTTACATGGCATTTCTCGTGAGACAAGCCACATTGCCTTGTTATGATTATTTATAAGTGAATATGTTCGGTTTATTGCGCTATTTGAGTCACCATAGGTGGCTGATTATTCCGCGATTTTTAGTGAAAGAACAGGTAGAGGAATTTCATACCTTCGTGGGAAACTTCCAAAGTCGTATGTACAATAGCGGCTGGTGGACAGAGAGGTACCGCAATGTAGACATCAGTAGCCAACTCCAGATGGACACAAACGTCGAGATATGCATAGAGAAACGTTGCATCTAAGCAAAGGAAGCCTAGATTTCTTCCAACTTTGCAGCCCAAAGTCTACCCACTTCTACCTTGCAGACAAATCCAAACGAGTTCTCTTCCGATGTAGTCCGGCTATCACCTGCGGTGCGGATGAATATTGCTCAAGATTGAAATTAACAAAATTGAGAAACAACGATCCGATATCGGCAATAGCCATCACGAATAGGCATAGGCCGACACCGTTGCTGAAAATGCTGGAATTAATGGAAGCATAGTTTGTTAATTTGGGCGCAACTTGGCCTGCTATCAGGGCACATCATAGGCTCCCCAGGGCGATACTTGGTCACTGGAGTTAAGAGAAAATCGAATTCTCGTTCGAAGATAAAAGTTTTTAAGTAGGTGATTTTCCCCGAGCTTTTCCCGTTCTCACTTGTATTTACCCCACCTCCTCCGCCAACCCGCTCCATGGCAGTTTTTTTTCGGGAGAGCTAGAAAATTTCGGAGGAAAAACTCTAGAAATGTGATGGCAATGAGAGAATCAAGATATTGGATAGGGAAGGGGGCGTATCGGATGGGGAAGGGGTCGTATCAGGGGTCGAAGGTTCAAGGGTCGGGTCGTATTTCGCCCAAGACTGCAGCATGTGTATGTAACTCTACATCCGGAGTGGGGCATGTCCAACCGTCGCGGTTAGACTTCTATGATAAACGACCCAATTTCTAAGCGAATTTTTCAGTTGCAGTGCAACCCGTTCCGCAACCGTGCCAGCTACTTACCAGGTTTGAGGAAAATTCACCAATTTCAGTCTAACAGTCAAGAATTAAAGCTTTGACGCAACACATAATGGACCAACCTTAGCTGCGTTTCATATACTTTGCGGCAGCGTAGCGTAGCGCTTCCAGCGTACGCAGCGGCAGTGCAGAAGAGAGGATGCATATCGATCTAGCTTCACCAGCGGCACGCTCTCCTTCGTTCAGTGTCTCTAGCCCCTCTCTAGCCCCGTCGCTGCAAGCGCTGGGAAACGCTGGTGAACCTAGATCGATAGCTATGCTTCCCGTGCCCTCGCTACGCCAGCGTGCGCTAGCGTGCCGCTAGTCCACGCTAGCGGCACCGCGCTTGGTGACGCTGGTGAAGCTAGATCGATATGCATCCTCTCTCTCGGCACTGCCGCTGGCGTACGCTGGAAGCGCTACGCTACGCTGCCGCAAAGTATAAACGCAGCCTTACTGATTGTTCAACAACCCTCCTACTGTCCCGCACATTTCCAGTTGGGGCCAGTTGCTGCATGCACGTGTTAGGGACGTGCTGATCTTAGGCTTTCATCTCTTTTATTATTCCTGTCATCCAAAGCTTTCTTGCGCTGTGTTAAAAAGATGTAAAAGAATTTTGACGACATCGAGTGCACTTTTCAGCGGGGTGATCTCAAAGTATTCTGCAGAAAACATGTGTGGCGGAATTTCCACTGCACCCGCGAATTTTAGGTCCGTGCATTGAACTGCCACGTTCTGGTGCATCCTTTGGCTGCACCCGAGTGTCACAGTCAAGGCGAGACCGATAGCTTTTCGATCGCTGAGTAGATGGTTACCTTGATCACCTCGCGTACGTCCAGAACAAGTTGTACCTCTAACTTTAGAAGTTATTAATTAGTATGCAGGCATTTCTACCTGCTCGCTTCTCAAAATGCTCTCGTAGAAATTCTGTGAACAGGCGATTATGCTTCAAAACAGGTTAAGCGCCCCAATTAGAACCCATCAACTCTTATCTCGTGTCACCTTATTTCACATGTGCGACTCTTCAGCAAAATATTGCCATATCAGGACCGAATATGCCACCCCCCCCTCCGCTTTGAGTAGATTGCGGAAGCTAAACTCAGTGTCGTAAGACTTTGATTTTACCTGAAAGAAAATCATAGTGACTTCCAGTTTTCAAATGAAGCTAGAAGCTTCAATGTGGATAACTTTCTCATACAAGCCATAGACGTTTCGAAAGGTTAATCAGTTCGCTTACCGAAATTTTCCCATCACCATTCATCTATAAAATTAGCCCCTTTCGGCTACAATTTTGGCTTCACCATTAACCTTCCAAAAGTAATGTCTATATGTGAACGCTTATCGACAGTCCAGCGTCCAATTCCAAACTGGAGTAACCAATATCTGACATACTTTTTTCCGGACATCAAGATGTCCTTTATTTTTCATTTTAAGGTTTAAACGAGAAAGGGAAACACTGCGCTCACCTGTACATCTCGGCACATCTTCGAGACAAACGGGTCATACGATAGAGCACGAACACATTGCACGGTATTCCGATAACAATTGCAGCCGTGTAAAATAGGTAGCACGAAAAAACGACACTGACGATCAAGTTCGAAGGCTCGTGGAGAGCCGATATCTCATCATCACTATCGTTCGCTGACATCTGAAAATACTAATCAACATAAAGAATTATGGGCACTTCAACGGAGCGTGACGCATCAAAATTGCGCGCGCCTGAGCGGTGATCACGAAAGTGCCGCGTGCGAACGTGCTGGTTTAGGTTGCGGTCTTGTTCGCTGCAGATGCTGGGCCGTGTCAGAGGGCTGGGTACAACGTGGCGCTAGCCCGTTTTCGCCAAATTGTTTTCGCTTTCCTGCTTCAACAATTGCTTGAGAACGGGATGCTGCAGCGCCAAGCCAGCCCCCTCCCCTGATTAGCTCCAGCATCCGGGGCGAACAAGAGTGTAGGTAGGACTACACAGGCAGATGACAACAGCTCAGGGAGACAAACGAAAAGACATTGTATCAGGACTTTTGAGTTTATTACTTTACAAAAGGCAAAAAGAAGAGGAAAGAGAAAGGAATGCAACGAAATAACAACGAATGCACACATCAGTGTAGCAGACAGCTGCTGTGAAGACATTACCACTTAAATGCTAATAATATGGAGGTTCCACATGTCTTCTCCTTTTTGTTTCGTAAGACGCATGCAAAAACATTTATTGTTTCTCTCTAAACACACCGGGTATGAATTAAACTTAGATTATTATGTATCAAATGTTTGACTTGTCTGCAGTCCAGTTCGCTACGGAGGATGGGGCGTGTCACTGAGGCTGGACTTGGCACGCTGTAAGCGACAACAGTTGGTGGAAAAAAGTGATACGAGGTTATGGTACATGTTGTGGTTGTGGTTCGGAGGAAAAAAGGAATAGAAACAAGCTGGCGCCAATCCCATTCCTCCTGCATGCCCCATCATAAGCAGCGAACAAGACCACTGCTCTTTGACCTCGAGGCTGAGTTGATTCTCGTTTTTTACCTTTCATTTCCGAGCGGGTTCACCTACAGTTGTCAACACTTTGCCTCGCCGAACGACATGGGCATGAAGCCTACGGCGATCAAGGGAAGTACGAATGAATGCTTAAGACTGTCCGCGGAAAAGACCACAGGTCCCGGCTCCCGAAGTAGTTACCACTACCTCGTCTGTGAAGAGAAAATGCAGAAGAAAACGAGGGGAAAATTCCCGGTAGGACTCTTTTAGCTTTAAGAAATTGTACAGTACAAGACGAAGAGAACTTATGTTGAGAAGAGATTAGTCAGCTGATTCCTTATAATGAATCCAACGACACCACCAAACGACAAAGGAGATTCCTTTTCATGCAGCTCGTCCGGTAGCATCGTTTTCCGCAAGAAGGGAGCCCATAGAGGCGGAGCCTGAAGGCGGAGACACTGGATGAAAGGGTGTTAGTGGAGCGACTTTTCCTGTTAGCGCTTTCAGCTCACAACTTAGAATGTAGCTGGTAGAGTGTTGTTCATTGCGGACAATGCTACCTTTTCCACGCCATTTTTTACGTTTTCAACAACTATCGGGACCGTTCCTTTGAAGGCGTGGAGGCGACGAGGCGGTGCACAGAGGAAAACTTTATGAACTAGGAGTTCACAACAACGCAAATTCCTTTGACTTCGCGGGCAAATTTCCAATAGTTATTAGGGAGTTCATGATATTAACAATCTTTCTTG